GTGAGACTGTCTCAAAACAGGACAGAACAAAACAGAACAGAAATATTAGGGCTAGGCCCTCAAAAAGAGCCCATACAGATACATTACAACTGTGGGTAGAGGCATAGTCAAAGGCCTGACCTCGAGACAAAAGATTAAATGACTATACTTACATACTTCCCCTAGAGATGAACAGCAGTGACTGATATTCTTAAATAGCTGTGGACCACCCTGTGGTAGGGGCAGGGGGCGGACTGACAACTCCCTTTGAGGAGAAGTTCCTGCTCGTCTCAGCTACACTTGCTATGTGACTGGTTTCCCCTTCTGATCCACATTTAATCGATATCACCTAAGCGATTACACGCATAGTCTTGTTGCTTACCATATTTTTGTCTTACCTCATACTTGCCTTGTGATCCCCCTTGAGTCAATGTTACCTAAGCGACTATACTTGAATTTTGTTAGTTGGTTATAGTTTTGTGCCACCTCACACCCACCTTGTGACTTCCCATTAGATCAATGTTGCCTAGGCAACTATACTTTTTATTAGTTGATAACAGTTTTTCCCACCTTAGACCCATCTCATCTCATGGTTTTGCTCAAAACTCCTTTGAAAAGCAGGGTCCTCGGGGGCCCACTTGGGAACCACTCTGCCTCTGTTACAAAGAAGCTTTCCTTCCCCAATAAATATAGCTTTCTTTCCTCAAAAATATTTTCTGCTGTTAAACTCCATTGTCCCCAGAATTCATTCTTTGATTTTAGAGAACATGAACTCAGTAGTAGGTTGGGAGTTATAATATTTTCCTTGTATTGGATTATTTGGTGGTTATGGATCATCCCTGTATCAGTATGCTATTGAGAAATAACCACTAGCTCTAACGTTAAATATATTTATACTTCTTTTATATGTTGACAGAATTCAGATGAAATACCACCTGCTTCATACAGCTCTAATCTGTTATGGAAAAATGTTTTCATAAACTGAGTTGGGAAAAGCCAAATCACAAAGTATAGTACTGGACAATTTAAAACAATTTTTAAAAAATTTCTTAATCTTCCTATGTTTCACTGTTCCCCTGTGAAATCTGAAAAACAACTATTCCATAGCCCTGAATGGCTCTGGACAGCACTTGATGTCACAACTCAAGAATGATAGGAAGTCGTCCTCACAGAGAGAAGGCCTAGCCCAGGGCCATGGAGCCCAAGCAGTGTGGCCATGGTGTCTAAGAAGAGAAGCCCAAGAGACAGCTTGGAGGCAAGTGAATAGCAGGGAGGAGAAAGTGCATTTTGTAAGACCCAACAGTTTTTGCTCAGTGTGGTGGCACAGGCCAGTAATCCCAGCACTCAGGAGCCTGAGGCAGGAAGATCGCCACGAGTTCAAGGTCAGCATGGCAAGAGCCTGTCTCAAAAATAAACCAAGAGAAGAAGAAGAGGAAGAGGAAGAGGAAGGAGAAGAGGAAGAAGAAGAAGAGGAAGAGGAAGAAGAAGAGGAAAAAGAGGAGGAGGAGGAGGAGGAGAAAGGAAGACCAAAGATTTTTCCAAATAAGTAAATTCATAATGAATAATGAAAGTCATGTGAATTCTGGGGCTCCTCGGAGAAACAGCTGATCACAGAGCTAGCAAGGAAAATGTAAGCGGAGCCCGGAGTGTGTGGTTGGTGGAGGAAACAAAGAAATGCTTCAGTAATGAAGACGACATGTCAAAGTACCAAGAAGTCAGCTAGAGAGACCGTCGTGGACCAAACTAGGAAAATTTGAACAATGACATAAACAGTGTGTACAGCAGAAGATAATCTGTTGAAACCTCCTGAATGACGCAGGAAACTCTGATCCACACAGATATTTATAAATAAGCAAACAAATTGAAGGTTGGTAAGGAATAAAATATTTACACAGTTCAAAGTATTGCCTCACAAAATAATTATGCATTGAAAAAGAAAAAAACATTAACTTTACAGTGGAGATGCCCGTGAAACAGCAATTTGGCTGTCACCAAGTGAATATTGTCACGAATGGCACAAATCAGAGTCCTCTGCCGCTAGTAGTATGCATCCCCTCTGACAGTCTTTACAAGATGCATGATCTGAATCTAATCATTAAAAAATCAGCAAAAGTCACAAGAAGGAACATTTTATGAGATCACTGGCTGAGGGACAGAGAATAAGAAACTGTTCAGACTGAAATAGGTTGACTCGGACTTGTCATGACAGCTAAATGCAATATGAGATCTTGGGCTGGATCGTTTTGCAATTTGGGACATTACTGGTGGCAGTGACGAACCCTGAGTGGGGTCTGGGTATTAGCTACCCTCTGGATTTGGATGGCAATATGGGGCTCATGCTGGACAACATTCCTCAAGCTATGCACCAAAACATGCAGGAGACATGAGCTCCCATGTCAGCTTCTCACCTCAGCAGTTCAGGGGAGAAGAAGCATGTGCTGTTCCTCCTACTCACGAGTTGCTGATCAGTTCAAGGTTTAAAAAAATAAAAGTGGAGACCAAAAGGCAGAACTGAGCAAGTTCTCAAGCTTATCTCCATGACTGAATTGAATATCTGTGAAAATATTAAGTAAACAGTGTACTGTGGAGCAAAACAAATGATATCATTTATGAAAATTTTTCAAATACACACAAACAATATATTATCCATGAATACACATATAATAACTATAAAAACATGAGCTATAAAAACATTGGAAAATTGCACAATAAGTTGGTGACGTGATTTTTTGCGGGAAAAAATTTGGGAAAGAAAAGCAGGGTAAGCCATGGTAAGGAGCCCAACTCTGTGTAACGCTTTATTTTTTCTAAATAAATAAAAAATCAAGCATACTAACGGCATGATCACTGTTAATTCTGAAAGATGGAATTCAGAGGTTAAATCATTCTTTGTACTTTATTGTTTTTTAATTTCTCCAGAAATCTTTCACAAATAAAACACAGTGAGGACTGCGTGATATATAGACCGTCTCTGTTTGCATTTACCAAGAAAGCTTGTAAAGTTGTTCTGCTTTGAGAAGTTTGCCAAGTTCATCAACAGAGTTGATACACAAGTGGGCACCACATGCTGTCCTGCTGACTCCTTATAACACGCCCCTTTGCCTGCTATTTGAGCTTGAATAGTTGAATGGTTTTTAATTAAGAACAAACCACAGGAAAAAGCGTCAGCACTCTTTGTGGAATCTCCCTGGAACATGCGAGATGCACAGGGGCCACCCATGCTGGCTGTCCGGGCAGCTACTGGGCCTGCGGCCACCGAAGCTGGACCCTTCCTGCCTGCTTGGCAGTCCCCACCTCTGCTCCGAGGTTGGACCGCAGTGAACTGCGCTGAGCCAGGCCAAGTCATTAGGTCACTGTTACTAAATTCAGAACAGAAGTAGTATCAAGCACAGGTTGTACTAGGTGACATGGGTGTTAAATGGCGCTAAGTAATCAGATAAGACTTCTCTACATTTTGCAAGTGTAGTGAATGCCCCACGAGGGCTGGGCCCGGTTTGTTTTGCAGACATTAATTTGCCATGTCCAGATTCTCTCACCAAACAGCGGGGTCACCGCCTCGACGAGGGACCCTTGTGAGGGTGCCAGCCATCTCTAGGCAATGTTGTTATTTAAAGCAGTTTTCTGAAAGTACTTGTATTATAACTTTGCTGGCTTCACGGGTGGGCTTCTTGTGTAGTCTTTACCATCGTTTTCTGACAAATACATTATTCTTTAACTGACATTTTGATTTAGTTTCCAAAACAGAAATAAATTTGATCATTCAAAAGCTTTTGTTAATGTAACACCTAGAATAAACTTTCCTTCTTACTACAGAGCCGCTTTTCTGACTATTGAAATGATTGAAAAGTGCCTTTTAAAAAAGTGCCTTAAAACTAAAGTAGGTCTCTACTGAGATTAGTGTACTCTAAATTTGAGTTTGACACAACAAGCACCTGTCGTCTGCTTTTCATATTCTATTACCTAGTGTGACTAAGTCATCTCATTTAAATGCACAAGTGAGTTCTATGGAATAACAAGTATTCATTTGCCATCATAATCCGCAAATATTACCTAGATAAATTAGAATTATTGCAGAATATTAAATTATAAAAGTTATATCACTAAATAGTAATACAGAACATTACATAAAATGTAATTGTTATGGGAATGTCTTTGGCATAGAAATAAAATTGTTAAACTATAGTGATTTTTTATCTACATTTTCCATTTAAAGCAATACAATTTACTTAGTGGACAGATTAAAGTTCTCAAAACTATAATGTATTAAGATTGTCTACAATACCACAAGGAAGACAGCAAAATCTTTGAGAGACCAGTTCGACTAGAAACACGGAACTAGACAATGTGAACACTGAAACCATCAGAAAGTTTTTGCATGAAATTATCTATTGCATAACAAATTATGTCCTAGTGACTACATTTCCAATTATTGTGATTTAAAATTTGAATTTTCACAATGGAGTATTACTTTGCCATAAAAAGGATAAATTTGAGTCATTTGTATGAAACCACGTAGCTCAACACCATAATTTTAAGTGAATTGAATCAGACACACACATTTAAATATTGCACAGGTTCTCTTATATGAAATCCAAAGTATAAATGAAGGTCAAAATAAAATATGTATAATAGGAAATGGGAATAGAACTTTTCTAAAAAGAAAGAGGACAAAGATTCAGAGGAGGGTGGAAAGATAGAGGGAAAGAGAAAAATCAAAATTTTCATATGTACACGCACCAACTCCCCACGATGAATGCAATCATGATATACTGCAAATACGTGCCAACAAAAAAAGACACAAAACCAAAATTGAATCAATGATTTTACATTCCCTGTGTAATAGTTCATTGTGAAAATAAATAATATATACTCATTAAAACTTTACTTAAAAATCACTGTTTTCTGGCTGGCACCCGGACTAGACGGGAAAACCAAACAGCAAGTAAGCGCTGGTATCCGAGGCGGGTGCTCAGGTAAACGGGAAATCACCAGAGGAATGAGACACACTGCTCGGAGGCGGCTTTAGTGAGAGGATTTTAATGTGCTGCAATTGCAAGTTTCCTACTGGAGTACAGGAGTCCTAACCAGCCCAAAGCCCTTTGGCAACGCTGATCTTGTGCAATTCAAATTCCTAAATGCTGAGGACGGACGGATTGAAACCAGAGTAAAGCCAGGAAACGGTGAGGGTGCTTCCCAGGTATCTGTCCGCAAACCTCTCCCCTTTCTCCAGGCACCTTTTATCCAACAGGTGTTGTCATAAATGATCAGCGTAAGCTACGGTGAGCAGGGGCTGCAGGCTGCGGGAGGAAAAGTCCCAGTAGAGAGCCGCGTCCGGGCCTGGGGAGGCGGGGACAGGCCTGTCCCAGACATAGCTCTAGTGGGAAGCGGTCTGCAGAGCTGAAGTCCGGGTACCTGGACCCTGGGGTGCAGCCCACGACTCCTCCTCCCCCTCCTCCTCTCCGTCCTCCCCCTCCTCCCCCTCCTCCTCTCCGTCCTCCCCCTCTTCCCTCTCCTCCTCCTCCCTCCTTCCCCTCCTCCCTCCCCCCTCCCCCTGCCCCTTCTCCCTCCTCCTCCTCCCTCCTCCGCCCCTCCCTCCTCCCTCCTCCTTCTCCCCCTCCTCCCTCCTCCTCCCCCTCCTCCTCCCCCTTCTCTTCCCCACCCCCACCGCGCGCCCCAGTCCACCGGCCTCAGAGGGGCGGGGTGGTGCGCGCCAGGGGGGGGAGGCACCTGGTTGCCAGGCAACGGGATGCTCCCCCAGCGTGAAGCCACGGAGGGGAGTACTTCGGGCAAGACAGTTGGAGAGACCCTGAGCAGCAGACATGAGCCCTGGTAAGAGCCGACCCGGGAGCTGCCTCCCGAGCGGGGAGCGTGGGGGACCGAGGGCAGCGGGTCCGGGGCTGCGGGGCTCCCCGGGTCGCCTGAGCGCGACCTCCCGGACTGGCTGCGCCTGCCGATCAGCCGCTGAGCAGCAGCCGCGCTGCGTGGCTCCAGTGCGCCCTCCGGTGCCCATCGCGGGCACGGCGACCCGAAGCTCCCCACCTGGCCTCTTGCGGCTCCCCAGTGCTGCTCCCAGCAGGACCAGAAGCCTCATCTGTTCTGTTCCAGAAAAGCAACCTGAAGAAGACGATGAGGTTGACGCAGTTCTTCTTTCAGCGTCCAAGATCCTAAATTCCTCTGAGAGGGTAAAGGAAAGTGACAGCATCGAAACAGGTACAATCTCCAAAGCCAGGGCCCCAATGCAGCGGTGTTTTCCTGCCCTGTGCAGCATACAGGCCACCCGTCCACCTCCTGGACCACCGGCCCACTGGTACCTGCAGGAACCACTACCAGCATGCCAACAACAGCTAACGGGACACACATGCGGTACCACATTCTGTTCTAAGCAGTGCGAGCATCGTTCGGGTAACCCATACAGCAGTGCCAGGCAATGGTACCACCGTTTCACAAAACAAAAACACGGGCCCTCTTGTGTAACCAACTCCCAAGGTCACAGAGATTGCAAGGCGGACAGAGCCAGCATTCAACAGGGTTCTGTAGGGTAAAAGGGCTAACACTTTACTGCTTCTCAGGATTCCCAATCAGAATCGTTAGTTTTTTAAAAACCACTAAAACAACATGCACTGGAAATTACTTTTTGCAATATGCATGAACAATAGGATCCTGTATGGGGAAGATGTTTGGAAAACAGACAAATAGCTTCAGTGTTGAAGCTGCACGTCACTGAATAGGATGTGGGTAGATACTCAGCCAGGGGAGTCTGAGAACACTGAAGCGGGTCTGTCTCCTTGAGAGAAGCCTAAGGTAACTGCACACCCATCAGTGTGACCTGGTGTCGGCAGGACAAGCCAGGGAAGCACTGAGCATGTCAGCAGATGTGCGCTGATGGGCCAAGGTCCTGGTTGCATGGTGGGGACACAGGAGTAATGCAGGGGCAGAGAGGACCAGGAAGGGGATGAACTAGAAGCAGCAGGGGCTTGGGACATTTTCTGCACCCTCATCAACCCAGAACCTTCACAAATGGCTCAGCAAGGTCCCCGAAAGAGGCTAGAGCAGCTGCCCCTCAGCAGATGAAAGACAGCTGGATCCTCTGTGACCACCGGGCTGAGAAGCATCTCGGCGGGACCAGCAGAGCGGGCACAGGGCCATTGCTTTGCCCTTGCTGTTTGGGGGGTACCTACAGGCTTTGCTGCACAGCCAGGAGGGGAAAGGACACAAGGGAGAGAGCCTTCCCTGAGTTTAGACGTGAAATCAGCCCATATTTACTTCTAAGCTCAGAGGCTCTGTAGGCAAAAGATACGGAAATGCCTCAATTTGGCAAAGTGTGTTTTCTAATATTAAGTGAGACCTGACACTCTGGAGATAGATGCCAGCATTTATAGCGAATAAAGTTACTTACAAAGTGACACATACATTTGTTTTGGAGTTGCGTTCTTTCCTGTTAGAGAACTGTGGTTACAGGATCTGGCACAGGACAGGTACTCTGCAAACGCTATGTGTCCCAACACAGGTGCCCCCAAGGGTGACAAGGATGTCCTATCTACAACTCAAGGCAAATTAGCAAGTGTGGCTTGTGCCTTCCCCATTCTGTCCTGCTGTCTGCACTTTACTATTTTAAGTGATCCATTCTGAGTAGTAACCATCAGAATAGTCACTTGATTATCAGCATGAATAATTCACAGTATTTATGTAAGCCAAGCAATTAGCTAACATAATTACATGAGAGTTGCCTCTGAAAATAAGGATAACCAGTGTCCTGTTTCTAGCACCCCCGTTCAAGTCTTTGTCCTCTAGATCACCTACCAAGCAAATGTTTTTGAGCACTTCTGTATATCTAGTGCTTTTCTAGGTGCTGGGGATCCAGACGTTACCATACATAAGATCCTACCCACATGAAGTTACCTTTTGGTGGGAGGAACAGACACAGGATATTATTCCCATGCATGGTGGGAATAACCCAATGGAGTAAAGTAGGGCAGGGGAAGAGCTGAGGAGTGTGGGCAGAATGCATCCAGTTTTAATAGGGTAGGTGATAGGAGAAAACCACTCTGCAGGCCACATCAAACAAAGAGCGGGATAGGTAACGGAGGAATCCTTGCAGATTTCCAGAGAAAAACGATCCAGGCAGAGAGCAGCAGTGCGGGGAAGGAGTGTACCTGGCACACTTGAGGAGCCACCGTTAGTTAATAGAGCAAACAGAGAGCTGAGAAGGGCTCGGAGGGGAAATTGGGGAAATCCTCCCACATAAGGATTTGCGGTTTTAGTCTGGGAAGCAGTGGACCGTTCTGGGCAGTATTCTTTCCCCTCTATCTTAGCTAGAAATTTCAGAATCACCAAATCATCATTGTGTCACCTCTGCAATAGTGATTAGGCTGAACAGTTTTGGAGCATTTGCTGTGGGCCCTGTCCTCTGCCTTGTAAGCACTTGACCTGCAAAGTAGAGTCTGGGTGCAGTGAATGCAGGATTCAGATCCCTTGGCTTATCCCTCATTCTTATGATAATGCCTCATGCAGCTTCTAAAACAGTTGCTTAAATTGTCACAGCAACGTCAGCATTTTAACCTGAGAAATTACAAAGCCTTGAATAAGACAGTCATTACCATGGGGTCCTTTAGAAATTCCTATGTTCCCCTGATCTGTTAGTCACCCTGTGCAGTTAATGCTTTCTGTATACACTGAATATGATGTAATTTTCTTCAGACTTAGGAATAAATTTCCCTTACTTCTACCTTAATTATCTCAAAAGCCATCTACTGACTGATCTTGTTTTAATCTTTTGTATTTTAAAATTTTATTTAAAAGAGGAAAAAAACACAAGAGAAGAAAAACAAAATCAAAAGAGAGCAACAAACAACAGTAACAACGAACCCAAAACAATAACAATACAGGCTTTCAAACAAATGATAGAAACTTGACAATGGTTGTTATATTGCATATTATCTTCAAAAGAGTTGCTTAGATTACCAGATACAGACATGCTAAATTGATCTAATCATGAGTATTGATTGTTCCTTTCTAAAAACTAATAGTTGTGCGATTTCCAATGCCTTCCATTTCAGTGTCTCCTGGGTTTGTTCTCAGTGGACTGGAGATCTGAGACTGCATCTTGCTCTTTCATTTTGTCATTTTTTTCTGGAACCTGTGTGGCTGGCCAGGCGCCCTCCCGATGGATTGCACTGGAACACTGGGCTGGGCAGAGCTGAGATAATCCACTACCTGTGTGGTTAACTGGAGCACACCCCCAAACTATGACACCAGGGCCTTGCCCTGTGATGGGCAGAGCTCTAAATCTCCAGGACCCACTGGCCAGGCTGGTCGCTCCCTGAGGGACAGCTCTGGGGCTCTGGGTTGGTCATGGCTCAGTACCCCGGGGACCAGCACGGCTATCAGGGATGCACTCCTGGAGTCTATTTTTTTCTTTTCACTTTCATAGTCACTTAAATATGACATGACTAGAATTTAAGTCAAATATAAGAGTAACATTTCTTACATCCCTAATAGAGCAGTTAAAGTTCTCAATACATGAAACCGTATTTTTCACTCTCTCCCAGTGCTTCCCAATGTGATAAGTTTAGCAGGGACTTAATAAATAAAACACAGTCACACACTGCTTTGTGTGGTTCTCGGAAGATTTCCCTTCCACTTCAAGAAGCACTTAATTCTGTCTCTTTAACGATGGCTGAACTTTAAAATTACCTTTCCTTTGGGAGTACATAGCAACCAAAGACTGTGAAACTAAAGAAAAAACACAAGTTATTTTAATAACTTTAAAAATAGGTGAATCCCACTCTCTGCCTACTCTCTCTTTCTGCATTGAATAATCTGAATATTCCTGAAGAAGAAAGTCACTTTTGAGTCATATCATGAATTTAAATGAACACCCAGTGGAACTTACTTTGTTACCCCGCCAAATTATTTCCAATACCCTTTTTCTTTCAGAGATAACTCTTTTTGTTCTCCTCAAATCCCAGCACCTCCCTGCACTGTTTGTCAACTCATAATATGATCTTGTTTTTGACCACTCAGGTCCATATTCTCAGGCATTTATGTTGGTGTGAATGAAAAAGGCTACATTGAAAGCCAGTTCTGGAGAGGGGTCTCGTTGCCACAGATCACCAGCTCACCCTGCACAGGTAGGCACAGGCCTTTATATAAGAAGCAAAGAGAAGCAGGCCACAAGACAGTAGACCTCTCCAGGCTGGCTCTTCCCTCCTGGCTCCTTTCTGTTCCCCAGCTTCCCTGTGAAAACAGGTCTGAACCCCAGCCTGCTGGAGCCAGCACCCCCATATCCTATCCACTCATCTGGGCTGAGCCGAAGAGGGCCTAAAGAAGAAGCTGTTAGACTCTAATGAAAAAATCTATTTTAAAGTTCCATTTTGTCTTGCTGGTTGTAGTCTCACACTCTGTGAAAAAAAAGTAGAAGCATCCAGACCCAACCTCCTCCTCTCCTGCCTCCACGTGGACAAGCCTTCTGCCCAGGTCACCGCACTCTGCCTTCCTCCTGGGTCAATGGAAGAAGTGCCTTATTCCACCAAAAGCCACTTCCTCCAGATCCCATCTCTTCTGCACTGCTCAGGGTCTTACCTTCCGCAGAGAGCCTCCATCCTTCTGCAGAATTACTCCCTCTTTCACTTACAACTACAGCAGCAAATAAGCAGGTGACAGCCTGCCATGGCTACAGAAGAAATTCTTCTTAACTTTATCTTTTCCAGTATGCACCACCCATCCTTAGGAGCATCCTGTTCCCTTTCACAGTAAAACTGGAAAAAGTGGCCACAGTTCCTCACATTCCCCACCCACGCCTCCTCACCCAGCTTCTGTGCTCCTCCTCCCATAGAAACCGCCTTTATCTAGACCTGCGGTGACATCATACTGCCCAGTAAAGGCTTCATTGCCCCTCGTGTGAACTGTGCACTGGTGTATCTATGCCTTTTTGACATCTTTACTTCGATGTCCAGGAGGCAACTTAATCTTAAAATACTGAAAATATTTTTTTGTCCTAAGCTATGTTCCTATCCCTATTCTTTTACATTTCAGTAAATATCACTCATCCATCTGCTCTCACCAAAAACCAAGGAATCATTCTTCACTCCTCTCTTCTGACCCCGTTGGATCCTCTAGCAATGCTGCTGGCTTTATCTCTAAAATATATCCTGAACCCCGCTACTATCCTCCATCTCTCCCACCAGTATAGTCCAAGATGTCTCATCTCTCAGTTGCCCCCTCCATTCTTACGTGACAGCTGGACCTATGTGCGCATTTTTGTCAGATCAAATCATGTTAGTGATGGAAACTCTCTAAAGCCTCCTGCTTCACCTAAATACCAGGTCACATGCCTCAGCTTGGGCTGTGAGATCCTTGATGAAGCCCATCTTCCTCTCCATCTTTTCTGCTCCTGAGTTCCATGACTCATTAAGCTACAGCTTCCTTCCTGGTCTGCAGACACAGCCATTTGTTCTGCTTCCAGATCTTGCTGTGTCCTCTACCCAGAGTGTTTCGTACAGGTGTCCACGCGAATGGCCCTTCCTTTCCTCTTAGGACTCGCAGATGACTTTCTCAGCCACCTCCTCCAAAATTGTCTCCAGTGACACTCACTATCAAGGCCTGTTTCTCTGTGTTATTTATCACTGTTTAAAACGCCCTTGTTTATTTCCATGTTTGTATTTTTTGTATTTACCTTCTTAGACCACAGAAACTGTGAAAGCAGGAGTCTTGACTTTCTTGTCTACTGCTGTATCTGCAGCACCTGTCATAGGTCATACTTAAAAGGAGATGCCGAATATTTGAAGGAATGAGGCTGTTGAAAAAATAAACCATCAACACATGAAGCAGCAATAATAACAAAAAAAGGCTGATTTATTAAGTTATAAAAATTGTTCTAGACTTTCAGGAAGAGATTTAGAGAGTAACAAAATATACCAGAACTTCCTTCTTTTGTCCCAAATGAAACCACCACTATCAACAAAAGTCTTGAAAAATGAGAAAAAATATCATTAGCAACACCAGAAAAAGGGAATGGCCATCTTAAACCATACATAGGAAAGTGGAAGCCAAAAATAAAAACAGAAGGCTTTGGCAAGGTAAACTGCAGCTGGCTCCTGACTCTGCCCCGACTTACAGAAACAGAAAGTCAAAATCCTGAGAACACTCATTGATCCCTCCAATCCGTATGGGAACGCGAAAAGACAGGAAATGCCTGTGTGTTTCTGTGATTGTGTCTAGGGAGACGGGGAGGAGCAGCTGCTGGAAATAGATGGATAAACCTGAAAGTTGGATAACAGGCTTGCTCTGAGGAAGTGAGAGGTTTGGATAATAGCGCCACTAGCCCCCAGATTGCTTTTGTGTGGATCACAGAAAGATCCACTGTCTTCTAAGTGGCTGTGAGTCCACTATGTCAGAGAAAATGGAAACTGAGAAAGTCGCTCAGGCTACACACGTGCTATATGACAGGAAGAAGCCATATGATACAAACTATGCAAGTATACTGTGGCCAAAAAAAAAGAAAATATATAAATCTCATCATTGTTTTTTTTTTTTTTTTTTTTGTCTTTTTCCTTTTTATCGGTACCAGGGATCGAACTCACGACTGCCTGCTTGCAAGGCAGGCGCTTATGCCGCTGAGCTAAATCCCCAGGCCTCATTGTTCTTTCTTAAGATTCTTTTATTTACTATATTACTTTACTAAGTTTATAGCTTCCTTTTGGATCCATATTCCTTGTGTGATGTTAGCAAAAAGAATCCTATATTTAGATTTGAATTTGAAAGTTTTCTTCCTAAAGTTGAACAGTTGTACTGCTGTGGGTACAGAATAGAGATGAAAGTGTGAACAGTGACGCCATTAACAATAAGGTATATAGGCTGAGCATATTTCTGAGAATAACACCCTATCTTTGTGTTTCAATAAAGAACTTAGTGGGAGTCGTGGTTACAGAACAGAATGCAAACATTACAAAACTGCAGTGTGAAAATAATGTGGACAGCAAGTATCACAAAAAGTGGGAAGCAGATGGAAAGGAAATACACGGCTAGTTTTCACATCTTTCTGGCAAGGAGTAAATTAAAACTGAATACAATAGAAGTGTATGTTTTCAGAAACAAAGCTTCTAACTTCTTAATCTTTTCCATGGTCTGTTGTCTTTATTTTGGGGGTATTTTTTAGTTTTAATGTCACAGTAATTTTATACACTTAGGGATGCAGATGACTTTTCAACAAGAACATAATGTATAATAATTAGAGTTGGAACAGACATGTCTGTTATCTCAGATATTTTTCTTTGGGCTGGGAATAGTCAAAATCATGTCTACTAGCTACTTTGAATATTCAGTTAGTTATTATCTCATAGTTACTTTATTGGGGTACACAGAGCATAGAAATTATTCCTCCTATCCAAACTGCATCCATTAACCATCCTCTTTCCATCCCTCTCTTCCTCACACTCATCCCAGGCTATGATAGACATTCTACTCTCTATTTTTTTTATGTCAACATGAGCCTACGTAGTATTTCTCTTTCTGTGCCTGACTTATTCCAATTAACATAATGGCCTCCAGTCCCATGGACACTGCTGCAAGTGACACAGTTTCATTCCTTTATGGCTGAAAAATATTTACATAGACACGCATATCGCATGTTCTTTATCAGTTCATCAGTTGATAGGCACTAAGTGTGATTCAGCTTCTTGGTTATTGTGAACGGTGCCACAGCAAACATGAAAGGGCGGCTGTCTCTCCAACAAACTTCTCTTCCCTATGCCCAGTTGTGGGATTGCTGGGTCAGATGGTAGTTCGTCTGATGTGTGTGTGTGTGTGTGTGTGTGTGTGTGGCTAAAAATGAGCCTAGATTTTATTTTTCACATAAATCTTGAGACATTTTCCTATGGGTATTAGTAAACATTAAATTTCCCAGGCATGATTACCATATGTGAGCCACTTTCTTCATAAGAGTATTAAACCCATTTCTTAATTGCCTTCAAAAATAGGAATTGCATTTCTAAAGGCCATTACAGAACATTTTTAAAAGAGATATGACAATCGAAACCCGTCCTCTCAAGTGCCCATGAAACAGGAAGCCTACAGGGGGACTTGGGAGACACCTGATCATTTCATGGGTTATCATGATGTAATCACTTTTATAACTCAAGGCATCAAACACTACCTGTGAAAACTGGAAAATGGGAATTCAAGAAGAATTAAGATGTGTTATGTGCATACGTAAGCTCCCCATAATGAGTAGTTATGTACTGCAAACATGTATTGACAAGGATAAAAAAAAAACTTGAAAGAGAAATTTGGGAAAAGGCAAAGAATTAAGGTTCCACTTTGTGTCACTGAATCATATCTTGGGACTTACTATTAATTTTACTTAACAGAAGCCAATTCTGCTTTGTTTTTGCTGTAGCTATAAGCAGCCTGTAAATGGCAGCCTTGGTTTTTATGATAAATAAGAATCCTGTAACCAGATGGTTATTACTTTCTTTTTTTGGGACAAGGTCTCACTATGTAATTGAAGCTGGCCTTGAACTCGAAACTGTGCTCTCGCCTCAACCACCCAAGTGCTAGGACTACAGACACACACCGCCTCTCCTGGCTTGGCACCAGATTTGCCTATGGTAGCACACTGTAGTACAATTTGCATTTTTAGTCAATGTTACTAAATTCCCTAGTTCCTTGCACCCTTGGGAAATGTAGGAAGTACATAGTTTAGTCGCTGAAATTAATTTAATATTAACAGTACAGAGTTCACAGTGTTCTGCCCGTAGCCTGTCACTTTTCAGTTGCTTATAGAAGGGGAATAGGGCAGTTTATTACTCATCATTATAAAGACTTGCCATGGGTTTGTGCTGGAGGAGTCATATTTTTGAGGGGTAAAATGATCTCACATTCAATGGGAGAGATGAACTGCGGATCTGGATGGGAGGCCATCTAGGAATGACGATTCCTCTTGTTAGCTCTGAATACTGATGCAAGGAGTGAACTTGTATGTACATGGGGTCCCTCAAGTAAGGCTTTGCAGATAAGCCAGCTACGTGTGCCATGTGGATGGGGCAGAGGAAGCTAGATCACTGGGAAGCTAAGCTCTTGGTTAGGAATAGCTTTCAAAACAAGTTGAGTAAGTCCTTGATGCTCTTACCTATACTTTTTAGCTACCTGCTAACCTGTGTCTGGCACCTTGATTCTTTGTTATCCATTCTGGATTAAAAAAAAAAAAACATGAAAAGCACTTGAGTCTCTTTTGTGTATGAGGGGCAGGTTTATTAATTTTTTAGGATCTGCCATTTTCTATAAAAGCTGCATAATTTTATATTCTCAGCAACAGTGTATGAGCTCCACGCTCTTGCCAGCATTTTTTATAATAGGTGGGTCGGGGTAACTATGGTTTTGCTTTACATTTCCTTGATTATTAGTGATGTTGAGCAGTTTATGACTAACTTATCAGTCGATAGTAATTCCTCTGCGAATTTTCTATTGAAACCATTCACCTGTTTGAGTTAGGATTGTGATTCTCTTTTATTTGCTGTTGAGTTTCTACTCTAGAAATTAATCCTTTGTCAAATAGTTAAAAAATATTTTCTCCTATTCTGTAGATTACCTCTCCACTATATTGATTATTTCTTTTGCCACACAGAAGCATTTCAGTTTAATGCAGTCATTTTTGTCAGTTTTTAATTTTGTTGCCTAGCTTTGGGATCATAACCAAAAAACTGCCCACACCAGTGTCCTGAAGCATGTTTTCTCACAGCTTCATAGCTTTGGGTCTTACATTTAAGTTCTTGATCCATTTGGATTTGATTTTTCTGTGTACCATG